TCATGTAAATCGTGTTGTCCCCGACAAAACCTTTTGATATCTTCGGATTTGGAGCACTTTTTTTTCGGTGGGCTTTTGAGATTTTCATCTCAAATTGAGGTAGGGGATGTCTTAGGTTTATATTATTGTTGTATTGATTGTTTTATAAGCATATACAACTTGTGAGCATGCCTTGTTCAAATTTTTAGAATTTAATTTATTTATTTTCTTTGTTTAGAATTTAATTATAATGATGGTATATAGTTTAGAATTAAATTGTGATATTCTAGTAAATTAGGCCTTAGTGAGTTGTGTAACATATATTAAATTTGGGGCATTTGAATAAGAATTGCAAAACTTATTTAATATTTATCTTTTATAAAAGATTAATTCACATAGTTGTATCAAGTATGAAATTAACTTATAATGTGATATTTAAGTAGGCCTTGGAGAGTTCTTTAACATATATTAAATTGAGAATATTTGAATATGTTTAAAAATCTAGTGAAAAATTAATTAATTAGCTTAATTAATTTTATTTTAAGTGTATTAGTCACTTAAATTGATATTGGATGTGATAGGTTGATAATTCCTTGAAATGTAGTCCGTTTAATTACTTTGTGAGCATGCTACTAACTTATTGTAGAATTAGTACTTATGGGCTCTAAAGATGGTGATTTGATTTAGCATGATATGTAATATCATTGTCTTGCATAGCTTGTTTAGATATATCTTGTGTAAGTATATAGCTTGTTATAATATTACAATTGTTTACCTTGGAAGCTAGTTACTAAATTGGGACTTATTTAAATCTTGTGGCTTAGTGTGGTAATGTGGCTCAATTGTTGTAAAATATTCTTGTTTTGGTGTATAAATTGCATATTGAAGGCTTGACATATCATATGTTATCTAAACTTAAACTCTAGGACATGGTTTGTGTGGATTCAACCTTACTTGTGCATGTAAATTGATTCCTAGATATTATTTGAGATGTATAAGTTTAGTTTTACTTATTAATTTTGCATAAGTTTTGAACTTATTGTTTTTGGAAAGCTTGTAAGGACATATTTCACATGATGGCTAGGGTTTGGCTCTAGTACAGAGACATGAGTCTTCTAAGTCATAAGTACGTACTAGGTAGTACCTTGTGGGTCGTAATTGTCCGGAATAACTTATGCATGTGCGCACTAGGTAGTGCCTTGTGGGTCATAATTACCCGGAAACACTTGTTTGGTCTAGTGACCACATGTCCTAGTCTTTCTACTCTGTTTTCGCATTCAATTTCAAGTTGTTAATCATGGATTACTTGTATCTTGAGAATTGGTGTTTGCTTATGTATTTTGATCTCATTTCTCAAGGGGAAAATGGAGGGTGTAATGCAGGCTATGAAAGGAAAAAGTCCTGCAACCGTGAATGACCTGGTACAAAGGACATACTTGCCGTTCAGCCCTGCCGTTATGTTCAGGATGCCCTCATTCGAAAGCTTCGATGGGACCAAAGATCCCCTCGATCACCTGGAAATCTTTAAAGCTCTTATGCATTTATACGCCGTACCAGACAAAATTATGTGCCGAGCTTTTCCCACTACACTTAAGGGATCAGCAAGAGTTTGGTTCAACAAGCTGAAGCCAGGAACCATCTACACCTTCGAAGAACTGAGTAAGCAATTTGTGAGGCAGTTCATTGCAGGTCAGAGGCATAGGAGGTCAGCCACCTACCTGCTTACCGTAAAGCAGCAGGAGGGCGAGTCGATCCGGGAATACATCACCTGATTCAACACAGAGATGTTGCAGGCAGAAGAGGTGGACGACAAGGTGGCCTTGACCGCTTTCATAGGAGGACTCCAAACCTCCAGATTCTTGTTTGCCCTATCCAAAGAACCTCCCACCAGCATGGCAGAGTTATTGATCAGAGCATAGAAACACATGAATGTTGAAGACGCTATGAATGCACGGAAAGGAAAGGAAGGAGAAGACAAAAAGAGGTCAGCCCCTCTCACCAGGGATGAGAAGGATACCAGTTATAAAAGATCATTCTTCAGCCAAAGCGATAAGACATATAGTGAGAAGGACTCAGATAAGTATACCAATTAACAATTGCCTCACAGCTAGAATTAGCCTTATCAAGTCATTCAAAATAAAGACTGGAGGCATCTCAGTTCATCATTTCACATGTTATTTTATTTTCCAATAAAGTCACCATCACCAATGAGGTGGATGACCCTCAATTTCTCCACAATAAAATATTATATTTTCAGTTCCCTACTACCTATGTGGTAATATTAAGCCTATAATAATCTATTTATCTCTTTAAAGGGCCAACTACACATTCTTCCCTTATTAAAGGGACAAAAAGCCGACTACTCCTTATATACAGAAGGGAAAAAAAAATAATAAAAATAATTAAAAAATAAAAATTGTACTGTTCATGTGAATAGCACCCGCGGGTACTGTTCCAGGGCAAGGAAAAAAAAAAAAGTTTCCTGTATTGTTCCAGGGCAAGGAAATAAAAAAAAAAGTTTCCTGTAGGGTTAAAAAAAAATAATAATAATAAATTATTATTATTATTACATTCCCAAAGCTAGACGAGCAAGCTTAGGAATGGGGGACAACTAATAGCGAAAAGTAAACCTAACCTACTTTGACCAGCCGCCAGACCTCTTCGGTGATCAATGATAATATTTTATTATTAGAGATAACGATTTCCATGGATAAAAATGATGACGAAATCTTATCAAGGATAAGATCTCCATGGGATAAGTTCCATGGGATAAGGATGATGAAGTTCCCTTATCAAGAATAAGGGAAGCGACGATAAATAGGACGACGACTCGGGAATAAGGTATGACGAAAAAACTATTATTAAATCCCTGCCTTCCTTTTTAGACCTCTGGTGACTAACTTGATCGTCGGAGAACTCTTGGCAGGCACCACACCGGTGCTGTCAAGGTTGATCGATTTTCTCCTCTTTCCCTTGCAGGTAAATGGCGTCGTATCGGACCGTGCGAATTTCACCCTCAACACTTAGAAAACGTGATTTTAGGGGAAGTTTCTTCTTCGTGTTTTTCCAGAAAATGTCGTCTTGGTACTGGAAATCCCTCGTGAATTTTCAACTTTCAATTTGCATTTTAGTAGCTTTTTGCCCCTCTTGACCAGTTCTGATCTAAGGGCATTTTGGGGATTTTGCAGTGAGTTTTTTTCATTTCCTTCCGCGGTGTCGGGTAGAAAACTCGATTTTAGGGAAGGTTTCTTCTTCGTGTTTTTCTAGAAAAATTCGTTTCGGCCTCTGTTTCAAACCTCAATTCTAGAAACCTGCTTTGGACCCTTGCTGTCAGCATGGGCATGCCATTGGGGGCCGGCGTGCACGCCGGCATGGGCGCCTGGCGCGCATGGGGCTGCCATGGCCTTCGTCGAGCCGCCGCGACGTCTTAACTTCAAACACTCGTTTCTCCCTCGTCCGGACTCCAAATTGAGTGAACTTTTTTTTTTAACTTGACTAATTTTTCACTGTCTTTCCAACGGTGTGCTCGGTTGCACCCAGATCCTCCTGGATAATTACCGGTTTACCCTTTTTGCCTTAAGTGCTCGTTTTTTCTTCGTCATGCCGTTTCTCCTTTGTCTGGACTTCGAATCATGCGATTCTTGAGTCCATCTTGATTAGTTTTTCGTTGTCCTTCCAGCGGTGTGCTCGGTGGCACCCGAGTCCACAGTTTTCATAAATAATTATTTTGCACCTGCGGGCTTATTTGTCATATTTTTGGTCTTTTGCTTCCGCATCAGTTCTCATTGAGTTCCACGACCTCATGGAAGGTCACTTTGACTTCTTAGAGTCTTGTTTTCTGTTTTCGCTTCCGCATTTCGGATCCGTTATCGGGTCAAACTACGGTTCATCACAAGACGCACTGGCTTGAAAAACCAGGGCTGTTACAAAGAATATGAATTTGATGTAGAAATTGAGGTTATATATATATATATATATATATATGCACATTATTAAGATTTATCATCAAGTTCTCTTATAGATTTTTCAAACATCTTAAGTTTCTGGATGTCTTGTACTTGGGTAGGATTTGGTTAGTAGTTTTTGTTTGGGTTGGTTTTGCCTCAATTCTAACACTTGTAAGTATTATTCACAGCAACATATAATGTTAGCTTACTGAAAAAAATAAATAAACTGGGTAGTGGGGCAATTTAAATGGGAGCGAGGATAGACGATGGGAGCTACGGTTATTGGTCTGTGGGTGCTAGTGTTGTTGTGATTACGATGCAGTGTCTTTGATCTTCTGTGCTCTGTTATTTGTTACTTTTTATTTGGGTTTGATCTAGCAAGAGATAGCCCTACTATCAGTTGGCTTCACTCTATGTTGCTGCAGTTTTTACGGTGTTTTTTGGAAAGATGCTAGCTGTTTTGTGGGCTTCTATTGCTGATTTGTTGGGGGTGCTTTTGTTGGTGCTTCGGGCAAGTCCTTTAGTTCCTCCTATGTAGATACTAGCTATATTTGTTGTCTACAGGTATTATTTGTTGTTGTTGCTGCTTCAATGCTTGTAGTCATTCATTGTTGGTATTTTGCTTTGCTACTTTGTTTTGGTATGCTCTAGGGGCATGCAGTCTCTTTTTTAAGTGGTCTATGTCGTTTTGTCCATTGGCCTTGGCTTCTATTGTACTCCATTGTTTATATCTATACAAATTTTACTTTACCCATGGGAAAAAATTTATTTCTTAGAGTGGTTATTATTTAGCATATCTTGGGTGGTTATTGCTGAAGATCTTTCAATTGATACTATACTTAGTTGTCAATATATTTCACGTATTCATTTTTTTTTCCCTCTCCTTTTTAGTTTGGATGTGTTGCTGGGACATACACATTAATAAAACATTTAGTTAGATCTTTTATAGTTTATGTAAACTTCAATTATTGATAATTTTCCATTACTTCAAGTAATTTTTTTTTTTTTTTTTTTTTTTGTTCCTAGTTCAAGTAAGAATATTTTCATGTACCTGTAAGCTCATGCAGTATGTCTCTATGCCTCGTAAGCTTTTTGGACACTGAAGTAATAGGTGCAGCAGATGCAACACTTCTCGAGCAAGTACTGAATTTCCATTTCCATAGATTTATATAACTTGCTGGACCCAACAGCCGGGGATTCAATATCCACATAACCTGGAAGTAAATACATGATTAGAAAAGCAGACACTTTAGCCAAACTATTCAGCATTCAAACTTTGAATTTTTTAAAGAAACTTAAAGAACTTCTCCCCAATGTGCTTCATTCACAACCAAGAAGAGCACTACCATCTTAGCCCTTGGGCACCCCAAAAGGCTTAAAGAAGTAACTGAACAAAAGGCTAAGCAGTCCCTCATAAGATATCAATTTCTAATTGGCCCAATTGAAACAATCAAAATTAAATAGAAAATATAATCAATAAGTAGGATCGTTAAGAGGATGCCATCTATAAGGAAGAAAACCTTCAAATCTAGTAATAAAAGGAGATTAATACCCTTACAAATGGACATCAGCAATGACCAGACCCAAATTACAAGTACATTGTTTTTTCAATAATTCGTTTAATCCATATAATATGCTAAAAGTTAGTCGTAATTTTCAAAAGCATTTGCCAGTTGCTTACAGAACAATAGAGAATATTGTTGATGCCAAAAATCTTACACGCCCCGGAGTCGGTGGCGATTCCTACAAAACAAGAGATGTGATGACTGGCGTGATGCCGACTGGGTGCACTCCGCCGGTCAAGTTAGTACTTGACGATCTAATATCCGATAAGGATTACATATAAAATTTGTGGCATACCTTTTTAGGTTGAATGATCATTTCTTTTATAGAAGCATTAATGATAGTAGTTGTTGAAACGAGATTCTCCCTGATCCAAGATGATATTGTTCCCTTCTTACAAGAATGGTAACTCTGGTTATATATGGTAACCAAATATTTTTTATGATTCCATAGAGATTTTGGGTAAGCTAAATCCCTTACCCTTATCTTATCTCTCTTTTGACTTTGAGTTGCCTATTATTTTTATCTTTATCAGTTGCCCCCTATTCTCGTGCTTGCTTATCAAGTATCGAGAATGTCAAAGTGTTTTTTTTTTAGTGACGTGTCTTTGGCATAAATCAATCTCTTTTTAGGTTAACCCTTGTTGGGCGACTTTTTTTTGGTTGATCTCTTAAGATTTGCCCGAACTTCATGAGCTAGGAGAGTAGGCTTTCTTAAGCTTAATGAGCTTACCTTTTAAAAAAGGGAAGTATATTTACGAGCTTTACTCAACTCGCCCCTTAAAAAGAAAAATATATTTTACGAGCTTCACTCAGCTCGCCCTTTAAAAAGGGAAGTATATTTTACAAGTTGATTTTTGATTTCGACCCCTTTTAATACGGAGGACAACGATCACGAGCTTCTTTTAGCTTGGGCCCTTATAGTACGGGGCCCTTTATATCAATCCCTTATAATATGGGGAATGGCAATTACGAGCTTCATTTAACTCGCCCTTTAAAAAGGAAAATATATTTTACGAGCTTCACTCAGCTCGCCCTTTAAAAAGGGAGGTATATTTTATAAGTTGATTTCGACCCCTTTTAATACGGAGGACAACAATTACGAGCTTCATTCAGCTCGGGCCCTTATAGTACGGGGCACTTTTATATCAATCCCTTATAATACAGGGATGGCAATTACGAGCTTTATTCAACTCGCCCTTTAAAAAGGGAGTAGGTTCTCCAAGCTTTATGAACCTATCCTTTTAATATGAGAGGTTCATCCTCGTGAGTTTCATCATCTCATCTTTTTAATAAAAGAGACTAATTTTCGATAGTTGCGTGAGCTCATCTATTTGATAAGGAAGACTGATTTTCCAGAGTTTTGTGAACTCGTATCTTTAATAAGAGAGGTTAATTTTCTGCCCCCATTCCCAAGCTTGCCTCTCATGCGCAAGGAGCACTAATGTATACAGTTTGAACAGATAATATATATACATATATATATATATATATATATATATATATATATATCAAAATTAGTACAATTAAGGCAAAAACTTATCATTGAACATCATAGGACCAAAATCATCCATGGATCTAGCAATTATTCTCTAGAATAAGAAAACTTTTTTTTTTTTTTAAACCCTGTGAACAATACCCGCGGATACTATTTATGTGAATAGTACTCACAAAATAAATTTTTTTTTTTTTTAAAACCCTGTGAACAGTACCCGCGGGTACTATTCATGTGAACAGTACTCACAATTTTATTTTTTATTTTTCCCTGGAACAGTATCCGCAAAACTTAGTATTCTATCGAAGGGTCCCCGAGTGAACAATATCATTATGTAGGTGAACAATATTTTGCAGACAATTGGAAACACATAAAAAATTATTTCTCTTTAAATCATGTGAGGAAGTATAGACATATATTTTGATATACGCGTAATGCATGAAACTCACCCGGTTAACAGCGATGATGAAACAACTGCTAGCAGTCGGGTGGAGCTTTCCAGCAATTTTACCGGATTGAGCAACTGTACCCTTGCTTTTGGCCACGCAATCCATGAACTATTCTTTTTCTTTTAGAGAAAGCCAGATTGTAAAGGGACTGAATTGCTTTCAAGTTTTGTCGTAGATTTCCCTTGTACGAAGCATGATTTGTTGGGACTAATATACGTTCCCACAAACGGCGCCAATTGTTGATGCCAAAAATCTACACGCCCCGGAGTCGATGGCGATTCGTGCAAAACAAGAGAAGTGATGACCGGCGTGGTGCCGGCCGGGTGCACTCCGACGGTCAAGTTAGTACTTGACGATCTAATATCCGACAAGGATTACATATTAAATTTGTGGCGTACCTTTTTAGATTGAATGATCATTTCTTTTATAGAAGCATTAATGGTAGTAGTTGTTAAAGCGAAATTCTCCCTGATCCAAGATGATATCGTTCCCTTCTTACAGGAATGATAACTCTGGTTACCTATGGTAACTAGATATTTTTTATGATTTCATAGAGATTTTGGATAAGATAAATCCCTTACCCTTATCTTATTTTTCTTTTGACTTTGAGTTGCCTATTATTTTTATCCTTATCAAATATGAACCTTTTTTTAAGTAGAATAAGGCACACATGTGTCTAGTTTGATAACTAATTCCTACACCCCCTCCTCAGAATGGCAGGAGAAAGCACTTAAGCTAATAACTGGTTGTACTTAAAAACATGAACTTAAATAAGGAATGCCCTTGGTACGTAGATTTAACTAATTCTTTACAAAATGAAAATATGATTTCACACTATATCGGCAACTTCAGATGTGAAACTAATGAAAAATTCCCTACCTTCTCCAGCATAAAGTAAATGTTATGAGAACATGCATCAAATGTTATTAGTTTTATTGCATCAAGTTTGACTACTGGGGAAAAATTAAGATTTGGGAAGGGATGGCTTTACAATGTGAAACATCAGCTAAGATTTGATATTTAAAATGACTATACAACAACTGGAATTTTCAATTTTTCAAAATAGAATCTTTAGTCTGAAGGGATGGAAAGTATTTTCTAGGAACATTAATGCAATGAAGAGCTGTCATAAGACTTTTAGTCAAGGTTTCAGCTACACCCAAAATGAGGCTTATCGTGAACTGCAAGTAGAATATCTAAAATACTCAACGAATTTTTAAACAATTATAGATTCTCGTTTAATTAAGATCAGTAACAAAAAGATAATGAAAAATCGGCAGATAAGATCAAAAAAGAGAGTGAAGAAAAATCAAAGGAGACAGCAATTGTAAGCAAAAAATAGAGTACTAGAAAGTAAAATCAGATCTGGACATACCAGGAGCAGCAGAACTAATACTCACTGCCAAAAAAAAAAACCCATCTCTTAATAGCAAGCATCTAGAAAACATGTATGATTCATACATAAAGCCCTAAAGAAGTTGTCTGATTTTTATTACTTACAAAATCGATTGTGAGCTGTAGATGATGCTGGTTGTGAGCTCAAACACTGGCCGTAAAAGTGATTGTGAGTGAATCTAGATAGGTTGAGCTAGGGATTCGGTATTGAAACCTCTTCGATCGTCAGTCTATGATTTTTAGAGATTGAGAATTGTCGATTCGATTGTGGAAGTAGTCATTGAGAGGAAACAAGGGTTTGTTTTCTGTCAAGATGAAGAGATGGAGAGAGAATAATGTGGGTTCTATCGGTCAAGAAAGAAAACATGGGCAGAAATACCAATTCCCAAAGGAGATGATGTGTAATGCGCGCGCGGGACTAAGTGGCGCGTAATTTAATTTTTTTTAGGTTTTTTGGGACAAAATATGTAGTTGTAATAATAATTTTTTTTAAATAAATAGATTTGTTCGTTAATTAACAAACATATTTTGCTTCAGAATCTATTTTTATAAATAATAAATTGTAAACATAAATAGTTACCATAAATAAAAATAAATCTGTTTATATAAACAATAAATTATAATTAAAGATTTATTTATCTAGTTATGAAATAAAATAGCAAATTTGTACTTTTATTTTTTATAATTATCATTTTAAATTATCTTGTTCTTTTTTAACACTTGCAATTGTTTTAATATAAATTAATTATTATGCGCCAATTTTAACCATACAAAGTTGATGAGATAATACCCAGATTAGAAATTTTTTCACTTTTTGTATAGAACAATTTTTTTAAAAAAACCAATTAGATCTTCTAAACTCATGTGCTCCGAAATCAATGATGAGAAAGTTCAAGGACAGAGCCAGGATTTCAAATGAGAGGGGCACGCTGCAAAAAAAAAAAAAACAACCAATACGGGGTGTATATATATATATATATATATATATATAACAACTATAAAATTCAAAAGGCAAAAAAAGAAGAAAATTATTCAAATATGCACATTAAAAAGAAGAATTTTAAGAGTAGAAGTAGAAAAAGAAAAAGGAAAGAAAAATTAAAAAACTTTAAAAGGAAAAAGTTAAAAAGTTTCAATTGAGGAAGGAAATTTTGACTTTTTTATTAAGGAAATTTAAGGAATTTGAAGAGTAAAAGAAAAAATAAAGAGATAATTCTAGAAACCACAAAATTTAGGGGGGGCACTGCATAAATTTTTTTAATCGATTGATCAATTAGGGATAACTTTACTTAATGATCGATGATGGAGAAGTT